AAAGACAACAGGCTACTGATAGCTAAATATAAGAAAAATAATTTTAACAATAATACCAACAGGTTATACTTACTTGACCTTTAAAAGGTAAAGTTCTAGGGCTAGAGATTAATTTTAGAATGAAGTTGAAAAGATCCAAACAAAAGTTTAAATGTTGATTAAAGGGCTAAATAATTTATCTTCCTAGCATATGTGTATAGCTTGAAGGGGGTAAAGTTTTAGGAGCATACTTATATTTTGACTAGTGGATTACTAAAAATTTTTCCTGTAGGATATATAATTGCTCTATTTCTGGCATTAGTTTTCATTTAGCTTTGCATCCAGAGTTTATAATTTACAGTGTAAATCAGAGGATCATTACTTGTGCTTTAATGTAAACTTTAAGAAGAATAAATGTTATATAAAGTTTTCCTGAATGAGTATAACTTGGGAAGTAATTCAGAATGGTTATTTTGTCGTGGTTTGGGAAAAAGGAAAATGATAGTGGAACCATCAATTCAAGGTAACTCTTCCTGGATTAGGATTACTTTAATTACTTTAATTAACCCAAAACATGGCCTTCTTCCTGTCTCCAGAATATTCACATTGTTGTGACACAACAACATATTTTGTCAGTAAATCCTAATTTGCACCTTGTCTACCTCATGTGTTAACATGACCTTGGTTTACCTGGCCTTCCAAGCATGAATTTTGCTAGCGTTTAAAACTTAAATAAAATGTCATCTCTGTCAGGAAAACTAACACACTCTAGGTCCATGTTTAAATACTGTTAACTTCCTTAAATTAAAAATTCTTTTAGAATCTACTCTACATTTTCTTCTCAAGGTAGTACCCACATTTTAAAGAGATTAATTTTTTATCTTCCCAAAGAGTAAATTTCATTTGCTTTTAAGGCAAAGAGATAAACTTATCAGGATCAGAGCTCAGATAAATAAATTTTTATGACTATCATTTTTAATAAGCTGCATTGTCCTATGACTTGTAAAAGGACATTTTGAAGTTGGTAAGATGCCTCCTACTACCTGGTGCAGTGGTATAGGCTGGCCAAGTGGTCAGAAAGTTAGTTTGGGACTACTTCTACCCAAAGCGATCCTGTGAACATTCTTTACTGCAATGATGTAGCCTTGTACTAAAAATACCACCTCGGCCTTGTTATATATGCTCACTTCAGTGGAACTTCTGTGTACTTGGAAAATCACACCTGCTGTTTGATTTGGTTGATGCAACTATATCCCAATTGAGATAAAATTTGGGTTGTACATATATGATTGATTTGCCTAAAAAGGGATATTTTAGTTAGTAACACAATCTTTCTGGTAGAATAACATTTTAAAAAATTTATTTATATTTATTTAATATTTATTTATTTATTTATTTATTTATGCATGCTGTGCCAGGTCTTAGTTGTGACATGCAGGATCTTCGTTATGGCATGCAGACTCTTAGTTGCCGCATGCGGGATCTAGTTCCCTGACCAGGGATCGAACCCTGGCCCCCTGCATTGGAAGCGTGGAGTCTTTCCCACTAGACCACCAGGGGAGTCCCTAGAAAAACATTTTTTTTTTTTATAGAAGCCCATATGATTTAAATTTATTTATTTATTTATTTATGGCTGTGTTGGGTCTTCGTTTCTGTGCGAGGGCTTTCTCTAGTTGTGGCAAGCGGGGGCCACTCTTCATTGCGGTGCGCGGGCCTCTCACTATCGCGGCCTCTCTTGTTGTGGAGCACAGGCTCCAGATGCGCAGGCTCAGTAATTGTGCCTCACGGGCCCAGTTGCTCCGCGGCATGTGGGATCTTCCCAGACCAGGGCTTGAACCTGTGTCCCCTGTATTGGCAGGCAGATTCTCAACCACTGTGCCACCAGGGAAGCCCTAGAAAAACATTTTTAATAGAGTTTATGTTTTAGAAAAGTTTTAGGTTCACAGCAAAAAAAAAAAGAGGAAGAGATCGCCCATATACCTCCCCACCCCTCAATAAAGCTTCCCCCATTATCAACTTCCCCCAACATAGTAGTACATTTGTAATAATCAGTGAGCCTATGGTGACACGTTATTACCCAAAGTCTGTAGTTTGCATTAGGGTTCACTCTTGGTGCTGTACATTCTATGGGTTTGGACAAATGTAATAAGGTATCTACCTTTATAGTGTCATATAGAATAGATTTCCTACCCTAAAAATCCTCTGTACCCTGCCAATTCATCCCTCCCCCTCCCCTAACCCCTGGCAACCACTGATCTTTTTTTACTGTCACCATAGTTTTGCCTTTTCCAGGATGCCATATAGTTGGAACCATACAGTAAATAGCCTTTTCAGATTGGCTACTTTCATCTAGTAATATGTATTTAGGTATTCTTCCATGTCTTTTCATGGCTTGGTAGCTCATTTCTTTTTAGCACTGAATAATATTCCATCATCTGGATGTATACAGTTTATCCATTAACCTACTAAAGGTGCTTCGTTGCTTATGAATAAAGCTGTTACAAATTTATGAATAAAGCTGTTATAAATATCTCATAACACAGGTTACTTCACTCCTAACTACTGTGTGGTTTATTTACATGTTGTTTTTCTTAGGAAGAGCATTTTATACATTTTTTTTTTTTTTTAAATAATTGTGTTTATTTTTACTTGTTGACCGTTTGCTTTATTTATTTATTTATGGCTGTGTTAGGTCTTCGTTTCTGTGCGAGGGCTTTCTCTAGTTGTGGCAAGCGGGGGCCACTCTTCATCGCGGTGCGCGGGCCTCTCACTCTCGCGGCCTCTCTTGTTGCGGAGCACAGGCTCCAGACGCGCAGGCTCAGTAGTTGTGGCTCACGGGCCCAGTTGCTCCGTGGCATGTGGGATCTTCCCAGACCAGGGCTCGAACCCGTGTTCCCTGCATTAGCAGGCAGATTCTCAACCACTGCGCCACCAGGGAAGCCCAGGAAGAGCATTTTATCTGCAAAGAAAGAGGGTTTTATTTCTTCCTTGATTTGTGGTTTGGTGTCTGACATTAATTTGGGGAAATTATTGGTCGTTATTGCGTCAAATAGTTGTTCCTTCCTCTCTTTCTTCCCCTGGTATTTCCATTATGCATACATCTTTTGTAACAGCTTTTGGATATTCTGGGGGGATTTTTTTCAGTCTTTTTTCTCTTTGTCTTCCAGTTTTGGAAGTTTCTGTTGACATGTTCTCAGGCACGTAGATTCTTTCCTTGGTGGTGTGCAGTCTGCTGGTGAGCCATGAAAGGCACTGTTCATTTCTGTTGTGGTGTTTTTGATCTCTGATTTGTTTCTGGTTCTCTCTTAGGATTTCTATCTCTCTTACATTACACATCTATTCTTACAAGTTGTCTATTTTTTCCATCAGAGCCCTCAGCATAGTGATCATGGTGGTTTCAAATTCCTGGTCTGATAATTCCAACGTCTTTGCCAGGTCTACCATTCTTTGCTCGCTCTGACTCCTCAAACTGTGTTTTTTGCCCTTTGGTATCCTTGTAATTTTCTTGTTGAAAGTTGGACATGCTGTCGTGGGTCAAGGAAACTTTGGTAAACAGGCCTTTAGTGATGAGTGGTAAGGCTGGGGGAGTGGTGGTGCTCTGTGTGACTGTTCTCAGCCTTGGAGAGCCTGTGCGCCTGGACTGGGAACCCGGCGGTGCTTCTCAGGCCTTCCTCTCACCTGGGAGGGTGGCTGCAGTGGCCTGAAATGGCCTATTTCCCATCTCCCAGGTCGGTCAGGCTCTCTTGAAGTAGTTTCTCTTGAGACCAGGCATCGTTAAGGATAGAACGCTCTCACATATTTTGAAATGCTTACTTTTCTTCTCCCCCTGCTGGAAACAAGGTGGGATTTTTCTCCAGTCGTCACTGTGAGAACCTGGTAGAGCTTCTGAAGGTAAACTCAAATAAAGAGTAAGGTCCCCCTCCTTGACTGGGTCCCCCTGGAATTTAAGTCTTGTTAATACTTGATAACACTGAGCTTCCAGCACTTGGTCAGTTACAGTTCAGGTTTTCCTCCCCAGCACTGGTCCCGCTGAGGTTTCCACCCGTGGGTTTCTGGTCCACTCAGTGTTGTGATTCTCTGTATCTGCCCCTCTGTCTCTCCCATTTTTGCATCAGTCACTTACACTGTGACCTCACTTCTATGGTGGATCTAAGAGAGGCTGTTAATTTTACAGTTTGTTTCAAGCTTTTTACTTGTTAGGATGGAGTGGTGACTTCTAAGCTCATTCCTTACATGTTGAGCCAGAAAACAGAAGTTAGAGCTATTCTTTTTAATCAATAATTTTTCTTACGTAAATACTGTCCAGGAATTGCTGAAAAGCCAGAACCAAGGGGGTTGGTGCTATTAGACTTTTAGGGGGTGGACCAATGGCCTGGCATTACCTTATAGGTTCAGAGCAAAGCAGTGCCAAACTTTTCAATATCCAGATGATCATAAAGTAAATAAGGATGATTAATAGGTTATGTATTCAAAAAACAAAGACGCTGGTGGGTGACTGGCTGTCCTACAAAATACCACAATTTTAAAATATAAAACAAGACAGGTTCTTAGAAATTTGATAATGATAAAAATAATTAGTTCCTTAATCAACAAGGACCCACTGTATAGCACAGGGAACTGTACTCAATATTCTGTAATAACCTGTGGGGGAAAATAATCTGGAAAAGAATGGATGTATGTATCAATATAAATGAACCACTTTGTTGTACACCTGAAACTAACACAACATTGTAAATCAACTATACTCCAATATAAAATAAAAATTAAAAAGAAGTAAATAGTTCTTTTTTTTGAATTTTATTTATTTTTTTATACAGCAGGTTCTTATTAGTTATCCATTTTATACATATTAGTGTATATGTGTCAGTCCCAGTCTCCCAATTCATCACACCTCCCCAGCCTCTTTCCCCCATTGGTGTCCATTCTTCTTTAGTACAGTAACTCTTTGGTAAGTGGATATATGTTATTCCAAAGCTAATTTTGTTAACTAGAAGGAATGAAACTTGTTTTTTCAATTATAGGATAACGTTAAGCATAAAGACCATATTGACCATCAGAAGGATAAAGTCGCCTTGACTCTGGCTCGTCTAGCCCGCCATGTCGAAGTGGAGAAACAGCAGAAAGAAGAGAAGAATAGAGCATTCAGGGTATGTGGCTGTTTTAACTGATATTTTACCCGATTATAGAGTTGTTTATAAGAAAGTTAAAGAGGTGCTTGTATAATCAAAAAATGTATAATTGGATCCAAGTTCAGCATGAAGTCTACATAGCTCACTGAGTTAGTAGTAATTCATGACGGCCTTTTACATCTGTTTTTGTTTGTTGGATTCTGCTCATATATGTATACAGACAAAAAAAGAAAAAATAGAATTAAGTGGACTTTATTTTTGGGAATTAAAAATCATGGGATTCCTTAAGCTGGTGAGCAATTAAGGGTTTCTAGTTACTTTATCACAGTTTATCAGGGCTTCTGTAGATAGAAGCTGTTGAAAGGTTATTTTCTACTAAGTACAGCCTGACCACTTTCACTTCAGCCTCTCCCTTCAGATTATTGAATTAGTGTGGTAGAAGAGCTCCTACATGGAAAATGAAGCCTAATTTAGACTCTTGCATGATATAAACGTTTTAAAACCTTGACTTGCTTTATTTTTTTAAGATTTTTTTTTGATGTGGACCATTTTTAAAGTCTTTACTGAATTTGTTATAATATTCCTTCTGTTTTATGTTTTGGTTTTTTGGCCGTGAGGCATGTAAGATCTTAGCTCCTCAATCAGGGATTGAACCCACACCCCCTGCATTGCAAGGTGAAGTCTTAACCACTGGACCGCCAGGGAAGTCCCTTGACTTGCTTTAGAAGGCACCAAATGAAATTACCTTAAAGAACTTCCCCAATATTGCCAAATGTCTGTTAGGAGTAGAATGTTGGCAAGTTGGGTAAAAAAAAAATCCTACTAGGAGTTTAAAAATGGAAATAGAAATCATGGCATAATTTTACCTTGTATGTTTTTGATTCCTTGTTCCATTGCTTATTATAAAGGAATTTATATATTTCTGTTGCCACTATTTTAGTATCTCCTAATCTAATGTAGAATACATTAGTCTTCTTTAAATTTAGAAGGAGCTTTGTTTGGGGACTTTAACTTTATAATGTAATACCAGTTAAATTAGAGCATAGTATTCTAATTGTATGTTTAAAATGCTTAATACATTAGTGATACTTTTTTTTCTATAAATTTATTTTATTTTTGGTTGCTTTGGGTCTTCGTTGCTGCACACGGGCTTTCTCTAGTTGTGGCGAGTGGGGTCTAACTGTTTCGTTGCGGTGTGCGAGCTTCTCATTGCGTTGGCTTCTCCTGTTGCGGAGCACAGGTTCTAGGCACACAGGCTTCAGTAGTTGTGGCACACAGGCTCAGTAGTTGTGGCTTGCGGGCTCTAGAGCGCAGGCTCAGTGGTTGTGGAGCGTGGGCTTAGTTGCTCCACAGCATGTGGGATCCTCCTGGACCAGGGCTTGAACCTGTGTCCCCTGCATTGGCAGGTGGATTCTTAACCACTGCGCCACTAGGGGAGCCTAAATTAGTGATACTTTTTTAAAAAAGGATTCTTTCTTTCCTGGTAGAGACACTATTCAATTTTTTTTTTTTTAATTTTTACTGGAGTGTAGTTGATTTACAGTGTTGTGTTAGTTTCATTATGATCAAATCTTTTTTTTTTTTATTTGGAGCAAAATTGCTTTACAATGTTGTGTTAATTTCTGCTGTATGATGAAGTGAATCAGCTATGTGTATACCTGTTTCCCCTCCCTCTCGGACTTCCCTCCCACCCACCCATTTAGGTCATCACAGAGCACCAAGAGGAGCTCCCTGTGCTATACAGCAGGTTCCCACTAGCTATGTATTTTACACATGGTAGTACATTTATGTCAAACCTAATATCTCAATTCGTCCCACCCTCCTGTTCCCCCCACTGTGTCCACAAGTCCGTTCTCTACATCTCTATTCCTGCCCTAAAAATAGGTTCCTCTGTACCATTTTTAGATTCCACATAGTATGCATTAATATACGGTATTTGTTTTTCTCTTTCTGGCTTACTTCACTCTGTATGACAGACTCTAGGTCCATCCACATCTCTAAAAATGACCCAATTTTGTTCCTTTTTATGGCTGAGTAATATTCCATTGTATATGCATACCACAGCTTCTTTATCCATTCATCTATCATTGGACATTTAGGTTGTTTCCATGTTCTGACGATTGTAAATAGTGCTGCAATGAACATTGGAGTACCTGTGTCTTTTTGAATTATGGTTTTCTCAGGGTATATGCCCAGTAGTGGGATTGCTGGATCACATGGTAATTCTATTTTTAGTTTTTTTACAGAACCTCCATGCTATTCTCCATAGTGGCTGTATCAATTTACATTCCCACCAACAGTGCAAAAGGGTTCACTTTTCTACACACCCTCTCCAACATTTATTGTTTGTGGATATTTTGATGATGGCCGTTCTGACCCTTATGAGGTGATACCTCATTGTAGTTTTGATTTGCATTTCTCTAATAATTAGTGATGTTGAGCATCTATTCATGTGCCTCTTTGCCATCTGTATGTCTTCTTTGGTGAAATGTCTATTTAGGTATTCTGCCCATTTTTTGATTGGGTTGTTTGCTTTTTTAATATTGAGCTGAATGAGCTGTTTATATATTTTGGAGATTAATCCTTTGTCCGTTGCTTCATTTGCAAATATTTTCTCCCATTCTGAGGGTTGTCTTTTCGTCTTGTTTTTGGTTTCCTTTGCTGTGTAAAACCTTTTAAGTTTAATTAGGTCCCATTTGTTTATTTTTGTTTTTATTTTCATTACTCTAGGAGGTGGGTCAAAAAAGATCTTGCTGTGGTTTATGTCAAAGCGTGTTTTTCCTATGTTTTTCTCTAAGAGTTTTATAGTGTCTGGTCTTACATTTAGGTCTTTAATCCATTTTGAGTTTATTTTTGTATATGGTGTTTGGTATTGTTCTAATTTCATTCTTTTACATGCAGTAGCTGTCCAGTTTTCACAGCCCCACTTATTGAAGAGGCTGTCTTTTCACCATTGTATTGTTCTTGCCTCCTTTGTCATAAATTAGGTGACCATATTGTGCATGGGTTTATCTCTGGGCTTTCTATCCTGTTCCATTGATCTGTATTTCTGTTTTTTTTGCCAGTACCATAATGTCTTGATTACTGTAGCTTTGTAGTATAGTTTGAAGTCGGGGAGCCTGATTCTTCTAGCCCTGTTTTTCTTTCTCAAGATTGCTTTGGCTACTTGGGGGCTTTTGTGTTTCCATACGAATTGTAAAATATTTTGTTCTAATTCTGTGAAGAATGCCATTGGTAGTTTGCACTGAATCCAGTTGGGATTGCACTGAATCTGTAGATTGCTTTGGGTAGTATAGTCATTTTCACAATATTGATTCTTCCAATCCAAGAACATGGTATATTTCTCCATCTGTTTATGTCATCTTTGATTTCTTTCATCAGTGTTTTATAGTTTTCTGAGTATAGGTCTTTTGCCTCCGTAGGTAAGTTTATTCTTAGGTATTTTATTCTTTTTGTTGCTATGGTAAATGGGATTGTTTCCTTAATTTCTCTTTCTGATTTTTTGTTAGCATATAGTAATGCAAGAGATTTCTGTGCATTAATTTTATATCCTGCAACCTTACCAAATTCATTGATTAGTTCTAGTAATTTTCTGGTGGCATCTTTAGGATTTTCTATGTATAGTATCATGTCATTTGTAAACAGTGACAGTTTTACTTCTTTTTTTCCAATTTGTATTCCTTTTATTTCTTTTCCTTCTCTTATTGCCATGGCTAGGAATTCCAAAACTATGTTGAATAGAGTGGCAAGAGTGGACATCCTTGTCTTGTTCCTGATCTTAGTGGAAATGCTTTTAGTTTTTCACCATTGAGAATGATGTTTGCTGTGGGTTTGTCATATATGGCCTTAATTATGTTGGGGTAGGTTCCCTCTATGCCCATTTTCTGGAGAGTTTTTATCATAAATGGGTGTTGAATTTTGTCAAAAGCTTTTTCTGCATCTGTTGAGATGATCATATGATTTTTATTCCTTAATTTGTTAATATGGTGTATCACATTGATTTGCATATATTGACGAATGCTTGCATTCCTGGGATAAATCCTGCTTGATCATGGTGTATGATCCTTTTAATGTGCTGTTGGATTCTGTTTGTAGTATTTTGTTGGGGACTTTTGCATCTATGATCATCAGTGATATTGGTCTGTAATTTTCTTTTTTTGTGACATCTTTGTCTGGTTTTGGTATCAGCGTGATGGTGGCCTTGTAGAACGAATTTGGGAGTGTTTGTCCCTCTGCGGTTTTTTGGAAGAGTTTGAGAAGGATCGGTATTAGCTCTTCCCTAAATATTTGATAGAATTTGCCTGTGAAACCATCTGGTCCTGGACCTTTGTTTGTTGGAAGATTTTTAATTACAGTTTCAATTTCATTCCTTGTGATAGGTCTGTTTATATTTTCTAATTCTTCCTGGTTCAGTCTTGGAAAATTGTACCTTTCCAAGAATTTGTCCATTTTTCATGGTTGTCCATTTTATTGGCATATAGTTGTTTGTACTAGTCTCTTATAATCCTTTGTATTTCTGCAGTGTCAGTTGTGATTTCTCCTCTTTTGTTTCTAATTTTATTGATTTGTGTCCTCCCCCCCCCTTTTTTTTTGATGAGTCTGGGTAAAGTTTTATCAATTTTGTTTATCTTCTCAAAGAACCAGCTTTTAGTTTTGTTATTCTTTGCTACTGTTTTCTTCATTTCTATTTCATTTATTTCTGCTCTGATCTTTATGATTTCTTTCCTTCTACTGATTTTGGGTTTTCTTCATTCTTCTTTCTCTAGTTGCTTTAGGTATAGGGTTAGATCGTTTGAGATTTTTCTTCTTTCTTGAGGTGAGCTTGAATTGCTATAAATTTCCCTCGTAGAACTGCTTTTGCTGCATCCTACAGGTTTGGGGCCTCTGAATCTGAACTACTGGTCTAACAGAGGACCTCAGACCCCAGGGAATATTTATCAGAATGAGGTCTCCCAGCGGTCCTCATGTCAGCACGAAGACCCAGCTCTACCCAACAGCCTGCAAACTCCAGTGCTGGA